CTCAGAGGATGAAGAAGAAGACCAGCGCCACAGTATCTGATGATGACGAAGTGTCGGAAGACTTCCCGGGTGGAAGTCTGCAGCAGCGCCACCAACCCCTGACAAGATGATCTCTGAGGAAGAAGGCTGCAGCTATGGCTGCAGCGCCAACACCCTGGAACCCCACTCCAGAGGAGGGTCCAACAGGGCACCAATCTCTCTCGCCTCCAGCAGACCTTGATAACCCAGACCTCTGTCAGCCCCTGCGTGCTGGCAGAGTACAACGCATGTCCTAGCTATGGTCGGCGCTACGAAGGTCGGGCTATGCCTATCTCTCTCCACGTCGAGCCGTCACCACTTTCAGTTCACGCGTAGCGCAGCAGCGATGTACTTGGTACCAACTGCCAAAAAAGCCCGGAACCGATGTGTTCATTCTATCTATAGACTACAACTAGCCTAGACTCGACCTAGACCGGACTGACAGACCGACCGGTACCGTTTCTGTTTCAGCCTCTCGGCCTCTACCGGACCCGGCTATAGGCTATAGGACCGTCTATCATAATAGGCCCTTAGGGCCTGTCTGTCCTAGGGGTAGCCCGGGCCTGCTATCCGCAGTTAGGGTAGCTGTAGGGAATTCGGTTAGTACCGGGCCTGTATTTTCCCGGATTTGCAAATATGTCCCTCACGAATTGCCCTCACAGGTAGGTCTCTCGGTTAGCCCTCAGCCAAACAAAATTGCGAATTTGTCCTACCTATAGTACAGCCTCGACAGAGAGAGGCTACAGGCGACCAGAAAACAGCAAGTCATTGCAGACCTACCCTCCCCCGGAGCGAGGACCTCCGAGCTACGGGCGTAGGCGTGCAGAGCGTCGAAGGGATACTGCCTTTTGTGCTGCCTCGTATTTGAGGATAACTGACTTGGCCGTCTTCATAAGTTCCTTGCGAGTAAACCAGCGATCCTCAGTATGTGGCTGGTACAAAAACTTCACAAGGTACTCCTTATCTGGACCTGTACCTGACTCATCCTCCACAGATTCGACCTCATACCCTTTGCCAGGGATAGTGGGACCGAACTGAGGAGGCCTGTCTGGGAATGCATCAGCTGGTGTGAACGGCAACAACTTAGATGCATGAAAGACATGGTAGGTTTGTAGATGCAGAGGGACATCCACGGTATAGGATGGTCCAAATGGATCAGCTCCCACTGTATCTAAGACCTGTCGTGGACCCATGTATCGTGGCAGCAGCTTAGGTGATATGTCCTCCTCTCATGACAACTCAGAACTGAGTACCCACACCCAGTCACCTTTGCGAATAGTAGAGGGACGTCTGTGCTTATTAGCCTGCTGAATCATGGCCTTTTGGGCCTTGAGCAGGTTAGCACGGGCGCGCTCAATGTCCACATGCTAACGTCTGGTGAACTCTGCAGTTCCAGACGTCAACGTAGGGGTAGCCTTATCGATGATGTCATCGAGAGGTTGTCGTGGCTCACGACCCCAGTGTAACCGATAGGGTGTGAAGCCAGTAGAGGAGTGTACATACGTGTTATACACAAGTTGTGCACGACTCAAATGGAGATCCCAGTCCTGCTGATCTGGACTGATCACAGGACGCAGCAACTGGAAAAGAATCTGGTTCATCACTTCAGCCTGACCATTGGCTTCAGGATGACGGCCATATGTCATATCCAAGCGTGAATGAAGGTAATCCTTGCAGTAGGATTGCCATTCATTGCTGCAAAACCAGGGATCTATGTCACTGACGATAGAGGTGGGGGGTCCATGATGTGTAACCCACCTGTCAGCAAACGCCGCCTAAACGGCTGGTACACGATCCTCAGCTGGTAAGGGGATGAACTCTGCATATTTGGAGAATCGGTCCACACATACCATGACCTGACGCATACCACGAGGAGTAGTCCTACCGAAGTAAGTAAAATCAATAGACACTAACTGCGCAGGAGCATCAGGGATAGGTAGTGGTTTGAGTAGGCCAAGGGGAGGTCGACATACAACCTGTTCCTTTGGCATAACTCACAGGTTTCCACATAGTGCAGCATGTCACTCCTCATCTCCTTCCAGAAGAAGCGCTGCGACAGGGCTGCATAAGATTTGAGGGCACCAAAGTGACCACGAGCATCATGACACTCTGACATCAGAAGTGTCCTCAGTTTGCGGTCCTAGGGAATGCACAGGCGCTCCTCACCTCTGCTGCATGTATACAACAGACCTAAAACCAGAGTATATCCTGGTTCAGAGGCAGGATCGTCCTGGAGATTTCTCATGATAGGCCCAAAGATCTAATCCTGGGGCAGCAACATGGCAATGGTCTGACGTGTCCTCTCTCCAAATGAGTGAGTGAAGGAGATCAGGAAAAGAGCGTCAGGCCTACGAGAAAGGGCATCTGCTACTCGATTGTAGTAGCCCTTCTTGTGTCTCAGTTCAAAGTCAAACATGTCAATGAACTGAATGTAGCGAGCAAGCTTGTCATTCAACTCTCCTTGGGGCTTCATCCACTGCAAAGTGGAGTGATCTGAAAAGATCTTGAAGTGTCTGCCCAGGAGAAAGTGCTTCCAATGCTTGAGCGCTGACACAAGAGCATAAAGCTCTTTCTCATAGGTAGAGTCCTGCAGCTTTTTGGTCTTGATCTTCTTGCTCATATACTCGATAGGCTGCAGACCATTCCCATCATCCTGCTGAAGTACTGCCCCTACACCATACTGGCTAGTATCAGTAGTCAACACAAAAGGCAGGGTAGGGTCAGGTAGCTTCAAGACAGGGTCACAAATCAAGGCCTCCTTGAGACGTGTAAAAGCCTCCTGACATTCCGATGTCCAAAGAAAGGAAGTGTCTTTCTTTGTGAGATCAGTCAAGGGAGATACAATAGAAGAGAAGTTCTTAATGAACTTCCTATAGTACGATGCAAGCCCCAAGAATGACTGGACATCACTAATGTTAGCAGGTCGCGACCATTCCTGAACTGCAGCAACTTTCGTTGCTTTAGGAGCCAACCCCTGTCCAGAAATGACGTGACCCACATAGACTACGGAGGGAACCCCAAAAGAGGACTTGTCTCTGTTGATCTTATACTGGTTATCACGTAAGGCCTGGAGGACCAGAGCCAGATGTTGCGCATGCTCCTACACAGAATGATTGAATACCAAGATATCATCAAGGTAGACAACTACGAACTTGTCCAGGTAAGGCCTCAGTATGCGATGCATCTCTGTTTGGAAGGTGACTGGGGCATTGCAAAGACCGAATGGCATAACCAGGTACTCATAAGTGTCGTACCTAGTTTTGAAGGTTGTCTTATAGACATCGCCTTCAGCCATCTCAATCTGGTGATAGCCAGATTTGAGGTCGATCTTGCTAAAGATGGTACAACCCTGCACCATATCAAACAGATCATCAATGCGAGGAAGAGGCTCTGTAGACTTCCTCGTGATTTTGTTGAGACCACAATAGTCCACACACATCCTGAACTCACCGTTCCCCTTAGGAACAAAGAGGACTGGTGCCCCAAACTCAAATGTGCTGGGCCTGATCCAGCCCTTGCTGGTCAAGGTCTCTAACTGTTTCCTGAGCTCTTCAAGTTCAGAAGGAGACATCTTGTAGACCCAGCCCTTGGGAGGGACCGAACCCGGTAGGATCTCTATCTTATGTTTGGTCTACCTATGGACTAGTCCAGTAAGCTCCTCCATAAGATCTGAAAAGTTGTGCACAACCTGTTGAATCTGAGAGGGACAGGGAGCAGTCTCCACGTCAGTCTATTTAACATAAGCCACGAACAGACGGGCATGGTCAGTCTGGCGTGAGAATCGCAGAAATCTGCGAGCGCTCATGCAATAACAGCTGCTGGCCGGATGGTACTCGTCAGCGAGCATGCAAGGGCGATATACCCCATGCCGGTCAGGTAGCTCAACCCTAGGAATCCGCCAGTCGATCGTACGATTGGTGGCATCGAGCCACTGCATAGAGAAGACAAGGTCAAAGGGGACGTTAGGAAACACAGAAGTTCAGGCGGTGCCCGACTTCTCCCTGCTTGTCAAAGGACACAGGTGGACCTTTGACAGCAGTAGTGATCCTGACTGTGGAAGAGTCGCCAATGTGAACCTCTAATCGCAATTTCACCAACCTCTGATCCAAGTGCAGCTTACTGACTGCCTTGGGGGAGATGAAGTTGCGAGTAGCCCCACAGTCTAAGAGCCCTTTGATCTTGGCTCCCAGGATGAAGGGTCGAAGCAGGATGAGTTCAGACTTATGCTTTTTCTTCTACTGCAAGGATATGAAAAATTCAGCAATACACGGAGCATCCTCCTCCTCCCACGTCTCATCCAACTCAAAGTCTTCAAAAGTGAAAGACCCTGACGAAGCAACTCCTGCGATAGAAGAACCAGCGAGAGAATGTGAAGATTCTTCTTCATCAAAAAGTGAATCAGCACTGGTGGAAGGAGCTGCTGCTTCCACCACTATCTGCTCTAGTTTTTTTAACTAGAGCCGCCTATAGACCTGCGAGGCATGCTGGGACAGTCCTTGAGAAAATGGTCGCCCTCGCATCTCAGGCAGACACCCTTGTCCTTTCTCTTCCTCCAGACCCCCTCCTGGATCCTGAGTGCATGCCTGGGGAAGGTGGAAGGATCAAGGGGGTCAACTGGCCATGGAACGTCTCGTGGCAAAGGTACTCTCTGGGCACCAGGGAAAGAGGCACGTCCCTTTCCTTTTCCCTGTCTACTGGTTGATGCTTTCTGGGTTGGGGCCTTGCCCTTTGTCAAGCCCATCAAAGCATCAGCCAGGGCAAGAACAACAGAATCTGCAGCAGATGATGATGCAGTCCCAGGTGGAGGGCTCCCACCCTGGGATGTTGCGTCACTATCTGAACCAAAAGCTGCAACAGTAAATAGGGCACCCTTCCTCCTCCTTCGCCCTTTAGAGGAGGGTCCCTTCCTTCAGAAGGTGCTTCCTGGACATGGAGTTCGGACTCCAAGTCCAGGGCTGCTCTGCCAAAGGACCGCCGATCCTTGTGGCTGTGAGAGAATAGAGCAAGCTGGAATTGCTCAGGCGCTGCTCTGAGGAAATGAATGAGCAGATCCTGCTCACTCATCTCCAACCCAGGAGTCGATGTAAGACTCTCAAAGGTGGAATACAGTTTGGACAAGGAGCCATCAAACTTTTTCTGGCCCAGGCGCAGAATTTTATCTGCTGCCTTCCTGGCCTGCTCCTTGTCTGCAAACCGATCCGGCAGTGCCTGCAGAAATCCAGCCACCCCCAACCTTTGCGCCCAATCAGCCATTTCCATACCTTGCTTGTTGGAGGTGGAGGTGCACCATTTCAGTGCTGATCGCTCCAAGCGAGCAAGGATGGCTGACACCTTCACATCCTCATCACATTTGAACCCACTCAGGTAGGTTCTCTGTGCAGCGAACCAATCTGCCACATCCACCTTTGGGTCCTCGCCTGAGAACATGGGTGGCGGTGTCAGCTTAGGCCGCTGAAACTCAAATGGTGCTGAGGGCTGTGAAGCTGCTATTGATGTGGGTGTAGGGGGTGGAGATGTAGGTCTGGAGTGTGGGGGTGATGCAGGTTTCCCATGCGAAGGTCCAGGAGAGGGAGGAGCAGGAGAAATGGTAGGGATCTTAAGGTGAGTGAAAATCAGATCCAGTTTGGCAGAGATGTCATCCATCTTTTTAGAAAAAGTTGAGTGACTGCTCTCCAGATTGGTGATCCGATCACTCCAGTTAGTAAAATAAGAACAGTGAATATCATCCTGTAGGAGGATGAATTCAGCCATGTCCTTATTGTACTGGCTGGAAATCCCACTAGTCCTGATCTTCTCCACATCTGCAATCAGTAACTTTTTCCTTGCCTCTTTTTGGGTTGCTTCCTCTTTCTTTTTCAACTCGGCCTTTAGAGTCTCAACTGCCTGGCCCTGCTGGCGGAGTTTCTCCTCCTGGGCCTGCAGTTCAACCTCTAAAGGATCAAGCGGGATCTGAGGCTTAACCTCAGAAGCCTCTGCCTTCCCAGCATCTGCCATTTTCCCACAATACATATAAATAAAAATAAACAAACACTCAGAGACAGCGCAGGAGGTAACAGGAATTGAGACTTCCCTTCAGTACTAACTCAATTGCTGCCACCTACCTGGAGAGAGAAGATTTGTTAGTCTGAGCAAGTGAGTTCTCAGTCTCAACAGACCGCTTGAGGGTCAGGGTCAGTTCAGAGTCCACTCAGGCAAAAACCAATTTCACGATTTTTCCATCCCTGCCCTGACACGACAATTGCATGCAATAATTTTGCAAATCCTGAATCAACAACTGACAGGATGCAGTCTTGGACTAATTAGTGTTGATTAGTAATTAGACAGAGTGACTAATTAGGGTTAGACAGGTGTCCACTGATGACCAAGATGTAGCGATTTACATGATATCCTATTTTTAGACTTACCCTACAGACCTCAACACTGTATGACCCTGTATGCGATACCCCGGGTACGGCGAATTACAGTTTTCACTGTAACTGACTCAGGACATCAAATCTGGATGTGCGATTTTAGACACTGACAGAATACTGAATTGCGATTTACCAGGGACTGACAGAACTGAATTCTGACGGACAGAATCAAAGTTATGACTGAGCCTAGTCTAGCCTAGCTTTAGCTATGTCAGCGCAGAATTCAAATTTGCATTATCACTGACAACAGACCCTTGAATTCACCAATTCACTACACAGTGTCAATCGCAATACTGTAACGCAGTCCCAGATGAAATATGAGCCAGAGGGAAGGTCAAACAGGGTTAGTAGAAGTCAAAGAAGATAGGTACAGGAAGTTGGATATGGTTGTCCCACAGTTTGAATTTTGATTTTCAACTGTCACCTGACAGACAGACCAAATTTCGCTATTCTAAAAATAGCCCGAGAATCGCCACACAGGATGGAGTAAGGAACACACTTACTTCAGGGTCAACTCTGAAGAAGATGCATGAAACCCTGGCTATGGCTAACTGGTCAACCCCATCTCGCCAGTTTCATCTCCTGACAGTAGCCAGTGTTCCCACGTACCAAATTGCCTGAAACTTGGTGATCCAGTAGATTACCCTGAGGCGCTTCACCCCCAACTGACAGATTCAGAGAATTCGGACTCCCAGGTGTCAATAACTGACAAAGTCAGTGCAGCGCCACATCACCCTGTACTGGGCTGCCTGGAAATTGGGGATCCTGACCCAATTCCACTATCGCCACCTCCTGGGATCACTTCCTTGACAATCCCCAACCTCCAGATGAATCGCCAGGCTATATTTAGCCTCTCAGAGCCTCCCAGGCCTCTGAGTGTCAATCGCCAATCACTCCTGCACAACCCTAGTCAGGAGTGAGTCACTCTCTGCTCATTCTTCTCGCCACACACTCACAACCACCACCCTTACTGACAACAACGCTGAAGATGATGAATCGCCTTGAAACTCAACTCCAGTATCTCGCCAGATGATGATGGGTGTTCCAACTCATCAGTCGCTTCCAGAGCCTGGATCCAATGGCTCTGATACCAACTATTATGATTCTGGTTGTTTGTTGCCTGTAGGCCAACACTCACTCACATAGACTTCCAGATATGCCCATACATACACAGAAGGAAGGGAAGAGGATAGGAGTATCACATCGCACAGCGAGAGATAACACAGCGGAAGACTTGACCATGCGATATGACAGGGTACACTGAAAGTGCAATTCACTCCACTCAATCCTCGCAACCAGTCATAGAGAAAAGCCGAGCAGATCACATCCAAGAAACAATGAAACGATGATAGTCCAAACCCAGTTATACACTGTTTATTAAACTCAGAGCCTTGAATTGTCAGGATAACTTCAGAACTACAGTGCGCTGCTCAGGAATGAGCAGCGCTTCACTCCCCAACCCTGAATAACACCCGTAACACCCCTGAGCCCTTGAAACATCAAGCGCCACCCAAATACAGCCTCCTGAGGGAAGCGCCACCCTGAAACAGGCCTCTGAGGCCAAGCGCCACTCAGAGGATGAAGAAG